TAAGGACTAAATATATCTTGACCTTGTGTCTCTGAGGACTCTACAACCCCACCATGTGTAGTGGACTAAATTAACAGTGACCTCAAGGTCATCCAGAACTGAACGGAGGTCACCAGCTCAATGAAAGTGTAAACGCTGCAGGTCACAAGCAATTGGATTGGACTTCATGGGAATACTAGCATCTTTGATTATTTGACGTAATAATCACTCAATGTTTGACGCAGTGTGATTTAGAAGTTGCATATCGAAGGTTAAGTTGAAGAAAGCAAATCAAATGGAATGGTTGAAGGCAGATTTTGAAGCCGCGGAAGACAAACTCTCTTTTTTTTTCATTTCTTTATGGTTTCTTCGAAATCAATCAATTTCTTATTTGTTCCTGTTTACGTCATGAGTAACATGAATTATTAATCGGGACAAAACCATCTGCTACATTACCTCAGCTGTTGCGCAAGTGTTCAGGAAAACATTATGGAAATAGAATAAGTGGTTAGGAAAACATGATCTTTTCAATGGAATAAGTGATTTTGAAAATTAAGTTTACTGCATTACTACAGTAGTTGAACAAGTGTTCAGGAAAACAGTATGGAAGTGGAATAAGTGTTTAGGAAAACATAGTCTTTGCAATGGAATAAGTGGTTTAGAAAATATGATGGGGGAGACGATGATGCAAGATATGAATGAGTAATGATTCTCGGCCACTGATCTGTCCTGGTGTGTTCATGTCTGAATGTGCCTCGTGAAAGTTTGATGATCTGGACCATGGCCAATTCTGTCTCGTGATGTACAGGCGACAATGATGTCTCTGATGTATATCCCTAGTCGTCCCAACATTAGTAAACTGAGAAAATTGTCTCTTTATTGAAAGATCTACAGGAGCTCTCTCGTCACAGGCTCATCAACACTTCGGCGTCGCCACCTATGTCGCAAGCACGTGTCGCAGTCAATCGTAATCGTTTGATCACCAAAACTCGGATCTCTATGTTGCGCCGATTCTGTATAATTTAATATAAAGCACATCTAGACCTGTTGTCATTTTAAATAATACATCAGCCTATTCTCCCGAGAAGATGGAACACTTGTCGTCAGTAACCTAATATACTAGTTGTAACACAACTAGCTAGATGTTAAAGCAATACTGTTTCCCTAAAACACAAACATTACACGCTTTGGACTCCACAACACTTTCAGTGATCGAAACTTTCACACCTGTATCTCTGCCGGGGAGCAGAGCCAGGGATGAACTGTTAAAAGTTTGGAATTCTACTATACTGAGAAACTTTCCTTGCAGCTGTATATTTTGATTAGATAATTGTTATCCTTGAATAAGGTTTTGCATTAGTCAGCATTTAGAAAATGTCGGACGTTGGGAGTATTGACAAACGGGGTATTCTGTCGCTGACGTTCATGTGCTTTCAGGGAGAATGGGAGTCGGGAGTGGAGCACTTGGTTTCGGATATAGTAAGGTTCATCCGCTCTTGCTCGATCCTGTACGTGCCAGCACTTGCTTTTCCTTCATTTTAACTCCATGCACGTTGAAATTATGTTGTCACACTTGGTTCCAGGTCCAAACTGGTTGCACAGAAACACCATGTGAACTTGATTTTAACTTTTAAGTTTTTCAAGATTTGTCATTTAACTTTTTGTCTTCAAGTCTCTAAATGTATGTTTTCAAAATATTGGAAGTCTAGTTAGTTAGTTAGTCTTGAAATCCTCAGTTGTTTCAATAAATCCTCGGATGTATAAGTTTTTTTTATATGTTTTTGAGTATGATATTAACATTAAGGGGTTAACTAAGAATCTTCTTAATGTCATTCTTATCTTTCAGTAAACATTGATTATGTATGAGTTACTCTTAATGCCCGATTTAAATGCAAGACTTTTGTCGTGAAATTACAATAGAAAATATTTCTGTTCAACTTGTGTTTCAATTTAGGAAAAAAGGAAATTTTTTTTTTTACCTTAACAAGTTTTGTCTATAATTGGATGTGGATCATATAACAGGTATTTAATTCACTGTCTCGTCCAGGCCAACTTTCGACTACAGTAAATCATATTTCAAATAATTTCTAATTTCTCTGCAGGGAATACTCGTTGCTGAAAAGTGTGATTTCAGTCTGGGGAGAAATGACTGTCTTTGATGTCCAAAATAGCACAGCCGTTTCAATTATAGCAATTTGTGGCTTGTATATTGAACTATCATTTGATACGTGGAAGTACATAATGCGAAAAGCAACTGGTTGCATCCTTCGCCTCGATGTACACTGGTCATGTTTGTGTGCCAACTAGATCCTGTACAATGCAGCTACCTGTTTTTATATGGTATTGAGCATACTTACTGGCTTCCACCAGTGATATTGCTTGGTAACATGAAGTCATTTATTATATACTTCAGTGTGAAAGACTGAGTTTTCTGAAGTTGAGAAAAGTGATATTTTCATTGCTCTGAACATAACACTTGATATTTCACTGCAGTGAACATAACACTTGATATTTCACTGCAGTGAACATAACACTTTGATGGAACTTTTTTCATTCAAGAGTAACCTCCCCTTAAATTGTCTCCCTTTATCCTAAGTGTCTTGCCATACACAAACTGTTGATGTCCTTTTTTATGTTAGTTACAAGTTGACAAGGCAAAATAATGACAGGTGGTCATTTATGGAATTAATAATACTTCTTGCCGTTTGTTATTCTCTCAAAAATGTTTCGTTATGAACTGTAAATTTCTCATTTAACTCATCATTTGACCGTTTGTTTTGCGAAGCCCCATTTTTGTTACTTGACTAGCGTGTATTCTTTCGCTTCCAACAGCAGTCTGCAAGTTTTCAAAATATTTTTTGTTGAAGTTGATGTTGTATATAATCATATAAAAATGTATGATAAAGAATTTTCGTGACCCTAAATATTTTGCAAACATGAAACTACTTTTTACGTCGCATATACAAGGGTGTGGTGTGTAAGGCTAGGAGAATTTACGTTTCAAGGTTTTACTTTTTTAATGAAATAATTTCATTTTCCGGGAGACAGCTACACAAAAAGTATGTAATAAATAGGATATTTGATGTGTCTAGTGAAATATCATGTTTCTCTCACCAAATGAGAGGGGAAAAGGAGATATTTTCACGAGTAACTATGCCACTCATGAAAATATCTGCTTTCCGCCTGTCACTTGATGAGAGAAACATGGGGCGAGTTGCAAGCCACAAATCACTTATAGTAAGCAAATTAATCGCTGATACCAGGGTCTGCAACAGCTTGAAACACTTGCGTACTCTTCCAACATTGCGGCACAACTCCTGCTTGGTTGCCTTGCCCTGATGAAGAACGTAACAGAAGAGGCTCGATGACGAACTGATGAAATGCATGACTACTTTGAAGATGTGGAGCAGACTGAGGATGATGGGGTGTTAGCTGCCTTTGCTCATTTCCAAGTTGATCGGGTCAAGAATTTCTTGTTCCGCTCTCCTCAGCCGCCATTTTGGTTTGAGAAGGAAGTGACCTCAGGCGGCTGAAAGTTAGTGAAAGGTTACCATGACACCACAATCAAATGACATCACTAATCTCTCTGCCACTGAAGCTGGTTAGCTTTACTTATTTACCCTCAAGAAACTGTTTTTTACTGTTTACAAACAGAAAAGGCTTGAAGAATGATTTTAAATGATAAATACAATCTCACCCGAGTGTCTTTTGATGTCAAAGATATCGACATAACTCAATAAATGTTTAAAACTCCTCAGCAAGTCTAGGAGTTTTAAACTATTATCGATATATATAATATCCAAAGACACTCAGGTAAGATTCTCTATATGGTAGTAATATCATTTTGCAGTGTTTGAAATTAAGGGGGGGTCTTTGAGGTCTTCAACAATGGTATTTGAACCTAGAGACTTTTACTTTTAATATTATGCTGACACACTGTGATATAACTGGAGTACTGTTCAAAGCAGCATTAATTCTTACTCGCGCACTCGCTGTTTTTTCAAGGAAGGTGTATTCATTGATCTGTGTTACCTCATCTTGATCGGTACTTTAAGAAGTGGAGAGTGATGAGTTTGGGGAAGAAGTGATTGTCACAAGAACTGACTGAAACAAGCATCAGGGGGTTGCAAGAGTTTTTGCTCATGCTGTCATCCACTGGGTGGCCTGGATAATATTTTACAGGCTGTGATGAAAGACAACTAAAATAGTTGTATGAAATGTGCACCAAGTTAACCATGCCCCCCGGATCAGTTTGTTTATCATGTAATAATTGTGTTATCAACGCTGTAAACTAATGCCATAAACTTGATGTCATGATTCGATAAATATGCAAATGAGATCACCTAGCCATGCAAGCAGGAACTACTTTTAGTATGTTCTGTACATCGATGTGATGCCTTCTTGCTTAAAAGCTATTGCATAATAATTCTTGCGTATACTCCACCTCAATTACACCAACGCCATATCCTGTAATTTGCCCGGTCATAACATTAAAGAAATCTTTTCAAAATCAGATTTTCAACAGAAGTCCTCTTCATTGTTAACTATCCATAATTAGTTTTGCAAGTAATAGTATCTTGCCTTCTGCCTGTGTATGTTAAAATAGACTTGTATGATAAATGGTATCTGACAGACTTGGTGTCGTAATCTCTGGTAATGATAGTGAAACTGAGTCCGTTCCAAGTTGGAATGCTATTTGTATAACAACTTCTCCCAGTAATCAGTCAAAGTCGCTGCCTGGACATTCACAGTATCCCTATCAAAAGTTAAATAGTACACTATTCAAAACGGCAGTAACACCCAACTCACATTCACTCACAAAAAACACACAATTTACTGCTTAAATTGACTACCGTTGACCACAACTGACCATGGAACCTCATTCTGGGTCAGAATGCTTTCAGTGAGGTAACAAGAACTGGTTTAGAAGATGCAGCCTTCTTTTGTGTTCTGTGATTTAAATGTGTATGTTCACCATGATTGTTTGCAATCTTTTTATGTCGGTTGTTTATTTTTTCCAGCCAGAGGGATCAGAAGCAGCAGATTCTGAATTTGTAAGTACAAATATTGTTTTCATATATTTTTTCTTTCCAATCTGGTGGCATAGGTGGCCCAGATGCTAAGGTGCTGCATTTTGCTGTGCAAAGTTACGTACCTTGGCCATGCCAGACAACATAGATTGTGGGTTCGAATCCTGGTTTGCCCCGATATGTTTCAAGGTTTGTCGGAACCATACCCGTGCTCATGCATCACTTCAGTGTTTCCTCCCACATTAAACTGACACACTGTGATATAACTGAAATACTGTTCAGAGCGACCTTAAATACAACTCACTCACTCACTCACTCACTCACTCACTCACTCACTCACAGTACTGTTATTGTGAATGGGTCTGTACTGACAATCTCCTGAAGTTGGGTGTTTGATTCAAGTCACCGCAAGGAAATACTTGAAGATGTGGATGAGTTGGGAGATTGAAGTGGTTTTCATGTTCCTAAATTATACTGGCAACAGGCCCGGTAGGACCTTGGTTAGAATAGGTTCTACTAGTTGCAGACGCATCTGATACAGCTACTCACTCACTCTACCACTCATTCACTCTCAACCATTCATTCTCTCTACCACTCACTCACTCGACCGCTCCACTCATTCATTCACTCAACCGCTCCACTCATTCACTCACTCACTCACTTGACCACTCCACTCATTCATTCACTCAACCGCTCCACTCATTCACTCACTCTGACTCCACTCACTCACTCACTCACTCACTCACTTGACCACTCCACTCATTCATTCACTCAACCGCTCCACTCATTCACTCACTTGACCACTCCACTCACTCACTCACTCACTCTAATACTCACACTCATTCACTCAACCACTCACTCTACCAGTCAAACTCACTCACTCACTCACCCACTCACTCACTCACCCACTCACTCACTTTGCTATTCACACTCAACCTCACACTCACTCACTCAACCACTCACTCACTCTGCTATTCACACTCACTCACTCACTCACTCACTCACTCTGCTATTCACACTCACTCAACTCACTCACTCAACCACTCACTCACTCTGCTATTCACACTCACTCACTCACTCACTCACTCAACCACTCACTCACTCTGCTATTCACACTCACTCAACTCACTCACTCAACCACTCACTCACTCACTCTGCTATTCACACTCACTCACTCACCCACTCACTCACTCTGCTATTCACACTCACTCAACCTCACACTCACACTTACCAAGAGTAAGTCTATGCCCCTCTAACACTAGCACCCGAACACATTGTTCATGCACAAAGACATGCACTGTACCAGATCTGGGTACAGCAGTACTCAACTGACCTTTGTCCATTACTCTTCTCTCTTCTTCACCTCAGGAATATTTGAATCACTTTTGTGCTGGTTCTAGAAAAACATGAATATGTTTATCTCACATAGCACAAGTTAACCACAGATCAAATTATGGAATGAAAGTGTTCAAGATACAATTTAGTTCCCACCCTTACAGTACATTAATTGTTTGGCAGTTCTTATGACATCAATCAATAAGACTCCCTATTGCCCAAACCATCACTGACAACAAAAAACAATCAATTCCTACTGGTTTCTTTATGGGAATAGCACCTCCAGCATCTTGCCCTTTTGGGAGAAAATTGCTAAAAACACATGACCACAGTTTGAGAGAAGAAAAAACATGACAAAAAGCGATATGCCCAATTTGTTCTTTCAAAACAAGATCAATCAACTGTAAGGTTGAAGTATTTTTTTCAGCGGAATCCCAGAGTTTGATGCGCTGTGCAGGTATTGGTTGGTGGCTATTTCCAGCCCTTGTTCATTACTTTGACCTTGCTACCAATTGTGCTGGAAACTCACAAAAGGTGGGGGGACGTTTTAGTTGTGTTTATTGCCTGGAACAAAAAGTAACAGAGCATGAAACATTGGGATGTTTTATGAAAGATTGTAGTGGCAGTTGAATTAGAAGGTAAATTTGTTTGTTTGTTTTGTTGTTTAACACCACAATCAGCACTATTCCAGCTATATGACAACAGCCTATAAATAATCAAGTCTGGACCAGACAATCCAGTGATTGACATCATGAACATCGATCAACGCAATTGGGACTTCATGACATGCATCAACCAAGTCAGCGGGCCTGACCACCCGATCCCGTTAGTCGCCTCTTTTGACAAGCATAGTCACCTTTTACAGCAAGCATGGGTTGCTGAAGACCTATTAAGTTACACGTCAATGGTTTTGTTGGAACCTAGTTTGAAGTGCCTCTTGCAATAAAGTGATTTCTGCTTTAAAGACAAACTGTCAATTTCTGAGTATTAGTACCATTTGGGATTCTGGGTAAGAATATGGTCTCAAGCAACCTATGATTGCCATAAGAGGGTTGTCAACTTGGTGACATGGTCGATGTCATTGTATCCCAATTGTGTGGATCAATGCTCATGATGTCAATCACTGGATTGTCTGACCCAGTATTGCAGGGTGTGACATGAAGCAACAAACAAACACATCTTTGTTGGCCTTGTAGGGGATGTGCCCAGTGGTGGATTCAGTCTGTGGTCTTGTTCTCCAGTAACTCTCAATTTGTTTCTTAGTTCGCACATTTTCTCGGCCAGTAGGCAAGTCATGAAACCCTCGAAATGACATTTTATTTATAAAAAAGTTGAAATTTATTGACAGGAGGAAACAAAAAATCAGCATGAAGTTAATTTTCTTTGAATTGTAGACACTGAAGAAAATGCTTTTTGATAATCAAAGTTCTAGTTTAATTTTCCTTCAAAAAGACTTCCGAAATCAAACAGAAAACACAACTGCAAATATTTCTAGGGGAGATTGCTTTCATTGAACAGTGAGAGCTTCGTTCTTGTTTGAACCGTTAAGTTTAAGAGGGCAGGTTGATCTGAATATCTATAAAATTGATGTTGGCTCAGCAGCATAAAACTCACGAAGTCAACGATGTACTTGCGATCCAAATAACATTGATGTGCTTTCTATGTGGGTAGTTTGTCATGAGATGGCACTTCTCCATTGTCCGACACACCTAATATCCCGGCCTGAATCACAGATAGCGTACTGGAGACATTAAGGCCCTGATAAATTCTTGTAAGCTTCTTGAATGGAATTAGAAATCACTAAAAATGGAACTATCTCTGTATTGTGACAGTTATCTATTTCACAAGGTTTAACATCCAACTCTTCCCTTAATATCACTTGCATCCAGTTAATGTGTCAATATTGATGCTGGACCTAAACTCTTTCCATCTCGTACAATTTGTCTAGCAGGGAAACAATTGCGAGATCAAATCCCTGCCAAACTTTCAACAGCTATCGCAGTTCGTCAGAAGAGAAGCAAATATTGACACTGAGGGCCGATTGATGGAGCCGATAGACTCACGTTTCTGCCTGTTTGCTCCAAAGCTGTCTGTCCATTAGACCTTGGTGTTCACACACATGCAATGATAGGCGAAGAATTAATCTGAGGAAATATCGCAAATTATATTCGGTAAGTGGCAGAAGTGCCATTCTCCTGGAATTAGAGCGCCGCCTGTTTACCTGATTGGAATCTACCACTGTCTCCAAATGTGACTTCTCTGTGGTGGCTACAAAATTTGAATTAGTTGGTTAAAAAGAAGTTTGAATTGCGGAACTGGTTGATTTGTGCAAGTTTACAGAATTGAAATAGCGATCGCTTGGTTTGTACAAACTGGGGTATATTTGGCTGACTGTATTTTCCTAGCTAATTTCACCAGATTTTGGTACCTTGGCCATCTCTTGATTTGGATTGCTTGTCTATCACCAAATATGAAATTCTTGGGTATCACCAAATTTGGAATCCTTAGGCACCGCCAAATATGGTGTTCTTGGTATCATAAGATAAAATTTTGGGGTTTCACCAAATAAGGAATTCTTATGTATCACCAAATAAGGAACTCTGGGATTTCTCCAAATAAGGAATTATTGGGTAACAACTAATGTGGTTTCATTTGCTTTCATGAAATTTGGAATTCTTGGCAGTAACTAAAAATGGAATTTTCAGCAATCACAAAATATTGAATTTTTCACAGAATTTGCATTTCTTGGCTATTACCAAATTGGAATTGCTCAAATGCACTCCCCTGTGATTTAGCAGGGCAGAATGGTTCCGAAATGCCCTGTGTTTGAGGTTAGTATACAGGAATTAGATGGCCAAGCATTAGATACGGGCAATTTGATGCACACTAGATGCACTTGTTTGTTTTGTGAGGTCAAAGGGAATAAATCTCTGTGTATTCCGATTTTATATCAAATAGCAGAGCCTGAGTTCCACTGAGCACCTGGTGTCTCGAGCAAGGCTGGCTGGTGTAGTATCTCATTGTTCCAAGCCACGTAGAATTGCATCTCACATTCCTTTGACAACTGAATCCCACTGGCCTCCTGGTGTCTCGAGCAAGGCTGGCTGGTGTAGTATCTCATTGTTCCCATGCCACGTAGAATTGCATCTCACATTCCTTTGACAACTGAATCCCACTGGCCTCCTGGTGTCTCGAGCAAGGCTGGCTGGTGTAGTATCTCATTGTTCCAAGCCACGTAGAATTGCATCTCACATTCCTTTGACAACTGAATCCCACTGGCCTCCTGGTGTCTCGAGCAAGGCTGGCTGGTGTAGTATCTCATTGTTCCCATGCCACGTAGAATTGCATCTCACATTCCTTTGACAACTGAATCCCACTGGCCTCCTGGTGTCTCGAGCAAGGCTGGCTGGTGTAGTATCTCATTGTTCCCATGCCACGTAGAATTGCATCTCACATTCCTTTGACAACTGAATCCCACTGGCCTCCTGGTGTCTCGAGCAAGGCTGGCTGGTGTAGTATCTCATTGTTCCCATGCCACGTAGAATTGCATCTCACATTCCTTTGACAACTGAATCCCACTGGCCTCCTGGTGTCTCGAGCAAGGCTGGCTGGTGTAGTATCTCATTGTTCCCATGCCACGTAGAATTGCATCTCACATTCCTTTGACAACTGAATCCCACTGGCCTCCT